CTGCTTCTAATCAGCTCTGTGCCGGGAAACCAGATCACCAGCCATAATTTCATTATGCAGAGACTAGGAATAAATTCGAGGGCTGCCTGTTTGTTGTTAGTAATTTGATCATTCGCCGTCATGGCATTGGCTGGTGGGGGGCACGCAGGTCTCTGGAGTCAGATAGACCTGGACTTCAGTCCAGAACCCCACCCATGCGGGGAGTTTGCCAGTTATTGTGTACACCTATCCCAGTGATGCCTTCTGGAAATGGGAAGTGACTCTAGGATGGGTTCGGAACCCCATCGGCCCCAATGTGAGATAAATCTGAACTAAAATGTCATTGCTCCCCTGACCTCCATAAGCCTCCACTCTGACTGGGGGACCTCCGTGAGGTCTGGGGCCCACTAGAATTAGTGTCAGTTCAGAATTAGTGTCCAGTGAGCCCCCGAAGTCTGATTATTTCCTTTTCTCCAGTGCAGTCACCCTGGTCAATGGCCACAGGTCCCCTGAGGGGAAGGCCGGGACAAAGGTTAATAACACAGATTTTTAGCCGTGTACCAGGGTCTTTTCTCAGGGGGATATAGCCTCCCATTTTACTGGTTGTGTAATCTTGCTGGAGTTAGAACAAGAATTGTCTGGCACCAGTGACATGCTCAGTAAGTGCTGGGACATACAAGGGAGGGACAGATCTAGGTGTGATTTATTTTGCATGTCATTGTCCTTCAGAAAAATTTGCTCAATCTTTATACTTTTTTAAGAAACAGCCTTAAAAATACTTTTGTGATATAATCACATACCATACAATTCATCCATTTAAAGTGCACCATTTAATGACTTTGAGTGTATTCCCCAAAATGTACATCCATCACCATAATCAATTTTAGCAATTTTTTTTTACCCTAACAAAGAAACGATACATCCCTTAGCCATTACCCTTCCACAATCTCCTTATTGCCCCCAGCCCTAGGCCATCATTAATCTATTCTATAGATTTTCCTATTCTGGACATTTCATAAAAATGATATCCTACAGAATGTGGTCCTTTGTGACTGGCTTATTTCACTTAGCATAATGTTTTTGAAATCCATCCATGTTGAATAGTATATATTAGTACTTCATTTTTTTTTTACTGCCAAATAATATTCCATTGTATGACTATAACACATTTTATTTATTTATCAATTAATGAATTTGGGTATTTTTTTTTAAATTTTTGATGCTGCTATCAATATTTGTGTCCAAATTTTTATGTGGATGTATATTGTTATGGATTGAATGTTTGTGTTCCCCTAAATTCATATATTGAGGCCCTAACTCCCAATGTGATGGTATTAGGAGGTGAGGAATTTGGGAGGTGATTAGGTCATGAGGGTGGAGACTTCATGAATGGGATTAGTACCCTTATAAGAAGAGGAAGAAACCAAGAAACTCCAGTGCATGCTCTCTCTCTCTGTCTCTTTTTCTCCACCATGTGAAGATATAACAAAAAGGTGCCAATTGTAAACAAGGAAGAGGGCTCGCACCAGAACCCAAAACTATGCTGGCACACTGATCTCAGACTTCCAGCCTCCAGAACCATAAGAAACAAGTATGTCTGCTGTTTAAGCCACCCAACCTATGATATTTTTGTCATAGCAGCCCAAACTGACATACGATGTATGTTTTCATGTATCTTGGATATATACCTAGAAATGGAATTGTTAGATCATATTGGTAACTCTATGGTTTTTTTTTTTAATTTTATTTGTTAGATCATATTGGTAACTCTATGGTTTTTTTTTTTTATTTGTTTTATTTGTTTTTTTAAATTTTATTTTGAGAGAGAGAGAGAGAGAGCACGAGTGGGGGTGGGGTAGAAGCTCCCTGCTGAGCAGGGAGCCCAATGTGGGACTTGATCCCAGGACTCCCGGATCATGACCTGAGCCAAAGGCAAATGCTTAACCGACTAAGCCACCCAGGTGCCCGGTAACTCTATGTTTAAACATCTGAGGAGTTGCCAGACTATTTTCCAAAGCAGCCGCACCACTTTACATCCCCATCAGCAGTGTACAAGGGTTTCAATTTCTCTGCATATTTACAAGTACTTATTATCTGACTTGTTGTTGAATATAGCCATCCTGGTGGATATGAAGTGCTGTCTTATTGTAGCTTTGATTTGTATTTCCCTGCTGGGTAATGATGTTGATAAATGTTTCATGTGTTTATTGGCCATTTGATATCTTCTTTGGAGAAATGCCTATACAGGTCCTTCTATTTTAAAATTGGCTTATATTTTTTTATTATTGAGTTGTAAGGGTTCTTTTTGTATTATACATACAAGTTCTTTATCAGATATATGATTTGTAAATATTTTCTCCCATTCTGTAGGCTGTCTTTTTAATTTTTTTTTAAAGATTTTATTTATTTATTTGACAGAGAGAGACATAGCGAGAGAAGGAGCACAAGCAGGGGGAGTGGGAGAGGGAGAAGCAGGCTTCCCGCTGGGCAGGGAGCCCAATGAGGGGCTTGATCCCAGGATCCTGGGATCATGACCTGAGCCGAAGGCAGGTGCTTAAAGACTGATCCACCCAGGTGCCCCTGTCTTTTTACTTTTACCTGGTGTCCCTTGATGCACAAAAGTCTTAATTTTGATGATGCATTATTTTTTAATCTATTTTTATTTTGTCACGTGTACTTTGGTGTCATACTTAACAAACCATTGCCTAATCCAAGATCACAAAGATTAATCCTATGTTTTCCTCTAAGACTTTCATAGTTTTTTTTTTAATTAATTAATTTATTTATTTACTTGAGACAGAGAGAATGAGAGAGAGAGAGAGCACATGAGAGCGGAGAGGGTCAGAGGCAGAAGCAGACTCCCTGCCGAGCAGGGAGCCCGATGCGGGACTCGATCCAGGGACTCGATCCAGGGACTCCAGGATCATGACCTGAGCCGAAGGCAGTCGCTTAACCAACTGAGCCACCCAGGCACCCAAGACTTTCATAGTTTTAAGTCCTACATTTAGACCTTTAATCCTTTGAGTTAGTTTTTATTAGTGATAGTGTGAAATAAGGGTCTAACTCCATTCTTCTGTATATGGGCATCCAGTTGCCCCACACCATTGGTTGGAAAGACTTTTCTTTCCCCATTTAATCGTCTTGGCATCTTTGTCAAAAAATCAGTTGGTCCACCCATTTTATTTTGTTTTACATTTTTACCCAAAAAAACTTTGATGGTGCAGATATTGATATGGGAAAAAACAAAGAGATGAACAAACAGATGCTTTGAACAAAAGCAAGCAGTGCAGAGTATTCAACTATTTCTGGATGGCAGCGGAGTATGGCCTCCATCCTATGTTAAATCCTTCTACTGTCTGTTTTAGTGCACACTGGCCAGTTTGTCCATGAACTTGCTGCTTGACATAATGTGTTGAAAAGATTTCATTCTATCTCAAAGCAAACAAAACAGAGACTCCTGAAAAGATGCTGGCTCTCGACAATTTAATAGACCTTAATATTTGCCGTAATTCAACCAGTTTTATTTCGGCTTAGACTAAGATTTTGGTCAACCTGGGAGTCCACTAAAATTTTAGTTGTAAAATAAACCTGTTGAGGACGTTGCTGCTTTTCTTGTGGAGTCATGGCATCTTTTTCAAGGCTGCAGTTGAAGAAGTTGCTTGGTTCCAAGATTGCCTTCCCACTAAACCTCTTGATTCAGGGAGGCTGCCCATTTATAATAATGGCATAGTGATGTTAAATGTGTCAAAAATTGCAGGAGCTGAAACTCAAATACTGTCCATTGCAAACAGATCTCTTGTTGATAGGGAAGGGAAGAGGGAATGTGTGTTCCCTAACAACTTGGGATCGGTTCAAACATGCCAGACTTGCCCCATGGTTCAGGCACTGTCTGCCAAGCCACAGAGGCAGGGAACAGAGGCTTCAAAGAGAAAAACCCTTTTAGGAGAGTTTATCATTTAAAACCATCAAATGGAGGCTCACATCACTTAACCTCCGGTGATCTTCATTGTGTGAGTTGAATCCCATTCAGAAAAATTACGGCAGAGCCCAGCAAGGGCCTGTAAATCAGCTCCGATTATTGGAGATTCTTCAGCCTGGTCTCAGATTTCAATGTCATTTCCATTTGTTGCACTGAATACCTATTACATGCAAAGCTCCATATGAGTATTATGGGGAGGTGCGGGTAAAGATGAATATAGAAAGGCACAGTCCTCATTGTGACAGAGTTTATAATTCAGCAGGACTTTGCCAGAACTGAATACTGAAGGAACCATGCACTGTTTAAAAAATTATGGAGTTTTATTAGGCAATAGTTCCTGTGTTTGGTGTTTCCCCTTGGGTTCAATGATTCAATAGGATTCGAATCAGCAAAACTGTTAAAATAATGGTTATGGCTTATTGCAGTGAAAGGATACAGATTAAAATCGACAACAGAAAAAGGTGTATGGAATAGAGTCTAGGAGAGATCGGGCACAACTTCTGGTTGTCCTCTCCCAGTGGGGTCATGCTAACTTCTTCGGGCAGCAATGTGTGGCAATGCACACAAAATAGTGCCAACAAGGGAAGCTCACTGAGCCTTGGAGTCCAGAGTTTTTACTGGGGCTCTATTACACATGCATGGCTGCCTGCCCATGTGGTTGACCTAACTCCAGGCCCTCCAGAGATTAAGATAATACCATATGGCCCAAGGCCTTCAATAAATCACATTTTTTAAAAAAGATTTTATTTATTTATTTGACAGAGAGAGAGACAGTGAGAGAGGGAACACAAGCAGGGGGAGTAGAGGAGGGAGAAGCAGGCTTCCCGCTGGGCAGGGAGCCCGATGTGGGGCTTGATCCCAGGACCCTGGAATCGTGACCTGAGCCGAAGGCAGATGTTTAATGACTGAGCCACCCAGGTGCCCCAGTAAGTCACATTGTTAGCATAAACTATATGGTATAGCCTAACAAACTTAGGTAAACAAAGATACTTTTATCAGGCAGGATATTCCAATGACCTAGAGATTATCTCCTAGGAATTGGCAGGCGAGAATTCTACCACTGAACCACCGATGCAGGCGACGATCTCCTAGGAATTGAATAAGGGCCAAACCTTTCTGGGAAATGTACATGTTTGGACAACCCAGACTTGCTGAAATTATCCTTTACTACACAGAACCCAGATGCATTCTTATTGTTAAAAGAAAGATTCAGACATTACAGACAGGTCTAAATCACCCCTCTTCATGTAGGAGCATCTTTACAAATGTAATGTTTGCCTAGGTGCTGTTGCTAGAAGCTCTGTTGTAGTGTGCACTGGGACTCTTGTCTCAGAACAGCTTCAACAGAAGAGGAGCAAGATGGCAGAGGAGTAGGAGACCTAAATTTCGTCTGATTCCAGGAATTGGGCTAGATAGGGATCAAACCATCCTGAACACCTACGAACTCAACAGGAGATCGAAGAAAAGAATAGCAACAACTCTTTGAACAGAAAAGCGACCACTTTCTGGAAGGTAGGATGTGCGGAGAAGTGAATCGGAGGCGATATTCGGGAGGATAGACGGCGGGGGAGGGGCCTCCGTTGGCCGCTTCTGGCAAGTGATAGAGCTGCGGAGCACAAAATCGGAACTTTTAAAAGTCTGCTCCGCTGAGGGACGTCACTCCGGTGGCTAAGCGGGGGGTGGAACCCTCCGGGACAGTGTGGTCTCAGGACCCTCGGGGTCACAGAAAGACCGGGGGTGCCTGAGTGTGGCAGAGCTCCCAGGGATCGGAGCGGGGAAGCCGGCTGCAGAGACGGAGCTGAGGTGCGGGCTCTCAGCTCGGGGTGGCCATAAACCATGATCCGCGGCACAGTCGGGCCCCTGCTCCTCCAGCAGGGACCCAACAAGTGGCAGATCTGGGGAGACTCTCCTTCCTTCCCCGGGAGGAGCAGCAGGGGAGCGCACCGCAGGGATCTGCTGGGTTTGGAGACTCCACACGGGGTCGTGTGCCAGAGATAGAAACGCGCGGTCACAGGCCGGGCGAGCACAGAGTGTGGCCGGAGACCGGGGAGATGGGAGAGACTGACAGCTTTTCTCTGGGGGCTCACTGAGAAGCGGGGCCCCGAGATCTCGGCTCCTCCGGGGTGGAGATTGGAAGGCCGCCATTTTCACTCTTGGCCTCCAAAGCTGTGCGGAAAGCTTGCAGGGAACAAAAGCTCCCTAGAGCAGGGGCACCTGGGTGGCTCAGTCGGTTAAGCGGCTGCCTTCAGCTCAGGTCATGATCCTGGGGTCTTGAGATCAAGCCCCACGTATGGCTCCCTGCTCAGTGGGGAGTCTGCTTCTCCCTCTCCCTCTCCCTCTGCCTGCCACTCTGCCTACTTGTGCTCTCTCTCTATCTCTCTGTCAAATAAATAAATAAAATCTTAAAAAAAAAAAGCTCCAGAGAGCAAACCCGAGCAGATTCCTTAGCCCTGACCGTGCAAGGGTGGGGCAATTCTGCCTCTGGCAAAGACATTTGGGAACCTCGGCGACAGGCCCCTCCCCCAGAAGGTCAGCAAGAACCATCCAAGACCAAGTTTACTGATCAATGAGAATGGCAGAATGCCAGCGCTAGGGGAATACAGCACATAGAATTCATGGCTTTTTCCCCCTGATTCTTTAATCTTTAAAAGTTAATTTTTAAAATTTTCTTTTTCTTTCTTTTTTTTTTTGAATTTTTCTTTTTCCCTTTTTCAACCAACATCTTATCAACCCCTTTTTTAAAAATCTTTTTTATTTTTCATTTTTAGAGTCATATTTTATTCCTTCATTTTAGTTAACCTTATTTTTTGTATATATATAAGTTGTTCTCTCTTTAAAATTTTGGGATACAGTTTCTTCTAATAGACCAAAATACACCCTAAATCTCTAGTGTATGGCTTTGTTCTAGTCCCCTGCCTGATCACATTCTCTCCCCTTTTTTGTGTTTTGTTTTGTTTTAATTTCTCTTCTTTCCTTTTTTTTTTTAAAGATTTTTATTTATTTATTTGACAGAGAGAGACACAGCGAGAGAGGGAACACAAGCAGGGGAAGTGGGAGAGGGAGAAACAGGCTTCCCACCTAGCAGGGAGCCCGATGCGGGGCTCGATCCCAGGACCCTGGGATCATAACCTGAAACGAAGGCAGACGCTTAACGACTGAGCCACCCAGGCGCCCCTTCTCTTCTTCCTTTTTTCAACCAACTTCTTATCAATTCATTTTATAAAATCTTTTATAATTTTCATCTTTACAGTCATATTCCATCCCTGCATCGTATTTACCTTATTTTTGTACATATATAAGTTTTTCTTTCTTTAAAATTTTGGGAGGCAGTTTCTTCTAACAGACCAAAATATGCCCCAAATCTAGTGTGTGGCACTGATCTATACACCAGCCTGATCATATTTGATCGTCTTCTTCTTTTTTTTTTTTCCTTTCCCTTTCTTTTCCCCCTGGTTTTGGGTCTCTTCTGATTTGTTTAGTGTATATTTTTCTAGGGTCGTTGTTATCCTTTAGCATTTTGTTCTCTCATTCGTCTATTCTCCTCTGGGCAAAATGACAAGACAGAAAAACTCACCTCAAAAAGAAAGAATGAGAGGCAGTACTGACTGCCAGAGACCTAATCAATATGGACATTAATAAGGTGTCAGAACTAGAGTTCAGAATGACGATTATAAAGATACTAGCTGGGCTTGAAAAAAGCATGGAAGATACTAGAGAATCCCTTTCTGGAGAAATAAAAGACCTAAATTTAACCAAGTCAAAATCAAAAAGGCTATTAATGAGGTGCAATAAAATGAGGCTCTAACTGCTACGATAAATGAGGCAGAAGAGAGAAGAGAGGAGCTGGTTCTTTGATAGAACTAATAAGAATTAATAAGATTGATAAACCCCTGGCCAGACTTACCAAAAAGAAAAGAGAAACAACCCAAATAAATAAAATCATGAATGAAAGAGAGATCACAACCAACACCAAAGAAATACAATTATAAGAACGTATTATGAGCAACTATATGCCAGCAAATTAGATAATCTGGGAGAAATGGATGCATTCCTAGAGATGTATAAACTACCGAAACTGAACCAGGAAGAAATAGAAAACCTGAACAGACCTATAACCACTAAGGAAATTGAAGCAGTAATCAAAAATCTCCCAACAAACAAGAGCCCAGGGCCCATGGCTTCCCAGGGGAATTCTACCAAACATTTAAAGAAGAATTAATACTTACTCTTCTGAAACTCTTTCAAAAAATAGAAATGGAAGGAAAACTGCCAAACTCATTTTATGAGGCCAGCCTTACCTTGATCCCAAAACCAGACAAAGACCCCATCAAAAAGGGGAATTACAGACCAATATCCCTGATGAACATGGATGCAAAAATTCTCACCAAAATACTAGCCAATAGGATCCAACAGTACATTAAAAGATTATTCACCACGACCAAGTGGGATTTATCCCTGGGCTGCAGCGTTGGTTCAACATCTGCAAATCAACCAATGTGATACAATACATTAATAAAAGAAAGAACAAGAACGATATGATCCTCTCAATAGATGCAGAAAAAGCATTTGACAAAGTACAGCATCCTTTCTTGATTAAAACTCTTCAGAGTGTAGGGATAGAGGGTACATACCTCAATATCATAAAAGCCATCTATGAAAAACCCACAGTGAATATCATTCTCAATGGGGAAAAACTAAGAGCTTTTCCCCTAAGGTCAGGAACACGGCAGGGATGTCCACTATCACCACTGCTATTCAACATAGTACTAGAAGTCCTAGCCACAGCAATCAGACAACAAAAAGAAATAAAAGGCATCTGCATCAGCAAAGAAGAAGTCAAACGCTCACTCTTTGCAGATGATATGATACTTTATGTGGAAAACTCAAAAGACTCCACCCCAAAACTGCTAGAACTCATACAGGAATTCAGTAAAGTAGCAGGATATAAAATCAATGCACAGAGGGATGCCTGGGTGGCTCAGTCGGTTAAGCAGCTGCCTTCAGCTCAGGTCATGATCCCAGGATCCTGGGGTCGAGTCCCACATCGGGCTCCCTACTCAGCAGGGAAGCTGCTTCTTCCCCTCCCTCTGCCTGCTGCTCCCCCTGCTTGCACTTGCTCTCTCTCTCTCAAATAAATAAAATCTTTTTTTTAAATCAATGCACAGAAATCAGTTGCATTTCTATACACCAACAACAAGACAGAAGAAAGAGAAATTAAGGAGTTGATCCCATTTACAATTGCACCCAAACCCACAAGATACCTAGGAATAAATCTAACCAAAGAGGCAAAGAATCTGTACTCAGAAAACTATAGAATACTCATGAAAGAAATTGAGGAAGACACAAAGAAATGGAAAAATGTGCCATGCTCATGGATTGGAAGAACAAATATTGTGAAGATGTCAATGCTACCTAGAGCAATCTACACATTCAATGCAATTCCTATCAAAATACCATTAACTATTTTCAAAAAAATGGAACAAATAATCCTAAAATTTGTATGGAACCAGAAACGACCCCAAATAGCCAGAGGAATATTGAAAAAGAAAAGCAAAGTTGGTGGCATCACAATTCCGGACTTCAAGCTCTATTACAAAGCTGTAATCATCAAGACAGTATGGTACTGGCACAAAAACAGACACATAGATCAATGGAACAGAATAGAGAGCCCAGAAGTGGACCCTCAACTCTATGATCAACTAATCTTCGACAAAGCAGGAAAGAATGTCCAATGGAAAAAAGACAGTCTCTTCAACAAACGGTGTTGGAAAAACTGGACAGCCACATACAGAAGAATGAAACTGGACCATTTCCTTATACCACACACAAAAATAGACTCAAAATGGATGAAAGACCTAAATGTGAGATAGGAATCCATCAAAATCCTAGAGGAGAACACAGGCAGCAACCTCTTCGACTCAGCCACAGCAACTTCTTCCTAGAAACATCGCCAAAGGCAAGGGAAGCAAGGGCAAAAATGAACTATTGGGACTTCATCAAGATAAAAAGCTTTTGCACAGCAAAGGAAATAGTCAACAAAACCAGAAGACATCCGACAGAATGGGGGAAGATATTTGCAAATGACATATCAGATAAAGGGTTAGTATCCAAATTCTATAAAGAACTTACCAAACTCAACACCCAAAGAACAAATAATCCAGTCAAGAAATGGGCAGAAGACATGAACAAACATTTTTCCAAAGAAGACATCCAAATGGCTAACAGACACATGAAAAAGTGCTCAACATCACTCGGCATCAGGGAAATCTAAATCAAAACCTCAATGAGATACCACCTCACACCAGTCAGAATGGCTAAAATTAACAAGTCAGGAAATGACAGATGTTGGTGAGGATGTGGAGAATGGGGAACCCTCCTACACTGTTGGTGGGAATGCAAGCTGGTGCAACCACTCTGGAAAACAGTATGGAGTTTCCTCAAAAAGTTGAAAATAGAGCTACCATACGATCCAGCAATTGCACTACTGGGTATTTACCCCAAAAATACAAATGTAGTGATCCGAAGGGGTACATACACCCCAGTGTTTAAAGCAGCAATATCCACAATAGCCAAACTATGGAAAGAGCCAAGATGTCCATCAACAGATGAATGGATAATGAAGATGTGGTGTACACACACACACACACACACACACACACAAGAATATTACGCAGCCATCAAAAAAAACCCCAATGAAATCTTGCCATTTGCAAGGCTGTGGATGGAACTAGAGGGTATTATGCTAAGCGAAATAAGTCAATCAGAGAAACACAAGTATCATATGATCTCACTGATAGGAGGAATTTTTTTTTTTTTTTTTTAAAGATTTTATTTATTTATTTGACAGAGAGACACAGCGAGAGAGGGAACACAAGCAGGGGGAGTGGGAGAGGGAGAAGCAGGTTCCCCGCAGAGCAGGGAGCCCGATGCGGGACTCGATCCCAGGACCCTGGGATCATGACCTGAGCCGAAGGCAGTCGCTTAACCAACTGAGCCACCCAGGCGCCCTGATAGGAGGAATTCTTAATCTCAGGAAACAAACAGGGTTGCTGGAGTGATCGGGGGTGGGAGGGATGGGGTGGCTGAGTGATGAACATTGGGGACATTAAAAAAAAAAAGAACAGCTTCAACGTAAGTAGGAAGACAGATGGTACAAAACATGCTTAGCATTGGAATAACCTTACACACATTTTCCAAGGAATTCTCATAAGGACTCAGATTACATTCCTTTCAATTTCAGATAGATTGTGGGAAAGTTAAAGTAAAACTTTTCTCTTAGGAAAAGAAAATGACAGAAGAGACACTTATTCCCAAGCCAGCTATAAGTTCACAGTGGCTTACCCTAGTTCCTTTGGGATCACTAGGGAAAGCATTATGGAATTGGAATGCTATCATCAGAATCAAGCTTGAGTTCTGGCTCTGCCACTTCTTGGTGACTATAGCAGGTTGACTTGTGTCATCCCCCAAAAGATATGTCCAAGTCCTAAACCCTTGTACCTGTGAATGTGATCTTATTTGGAAATAGAGTCTTTGCAGATGTAATGAAGTTAAAGATCTAGAGATGACATCAGCTTGGACTTAGGGTGGGACACAAATCCAATGACTGTCATCCTAATAAGAGAAAGGAGAGGGAGATTTAACACACAAAGAGACACGCAGAGGAAGAGGCCGTACAGCGATGGAGGCAGAGATTGGAGCACTTCAGCTTCAAGCCAGACAATGCCAGGATGGGTGCTGCCACCAGGAGCTAGGAAGGAGCAAGGAAGGATTCTCCCTGAAGACGCTCCAGAAGCAAAGTCTGCTGATAATTTGATTTCAGATTTCTGGCTTCAAAGACTGTGAGAGGAGGCATTTTTGTTGTTTCAAACTACTAAGTTTGTGGCAATATTTTATCACAGTGCCAGGGAGCTAAGACAGTGACCTTGTGCCACTTTCTGAACTTACCTAGTCTGTATCATCTATACAACAGCCATACCTACCTCTTGAGAGAATTAAACAAGATAATGTATAAATAATAGCGAGAAGTCTTTCTAATTTGAAATTTCTATTTTCCTAGTAATTCTCAAATGCTTCATGAAGATGCTGCTTTGGGTATTTTGTGGTATAGTTTTATACTTTTTTGGCATTATGACTCTGAACTCAATGGAAGATGAACTTCAGAGCAAGATTCTATGAAATCTCATATGATTTCAGTGCAAAAGAGTGAGAAAAGAGAAACAGGAATTGGAACAAGTGGCAGCTACCCAGGCTCTTTAAAAGATGCACATCTCGGGCGCCTGGGTGGCTCAGTTGGTTAAGCGACTGCCTTCGGCTCAGGTCATGATCCTGGAGTCCCGGGATCGAGTCCCGCATCGGGCTCCCTGCTCGGCAGGGAGTCTGCTTCTCCTTCTGACCCTCCCCCCTCTCATGTGCTCTCTCTCTCAAATAAATAAATAAAATCTTAAAAAAAGAGAGAGAGATACACATCTCCTTCCACTAATGACAGCCACTGCGGAGTGACTTCATCACTTGGAAAATTAAGTCCTGAGGGCTGGGGCTCCTAGACTGGGAGGCTGCGTCAAGCTACATTCACTGTGTCAGCGCAGGGTGGTGAACACGACCACTGCTTCTTTCCTCTGGTTGATGCTGTGCTTTAGCACAAAGTACCAGAGGGCAATGAGGGGCAAGGACTACATCCTTAACAGGAAAAATTATTCCCAAGTGGACTGAAAAAGCTTATCACTACCGGAGCCCAGAATCACTGTAACTTCCTTCTATGGTTTTGCTTTTTTTTTTTTTTTTAAAGATTTTATTTTTTTATTCATGAGAGATAGAGAGAGAGAGGCAGAGGCAGAGGGAGAAGCAGACTCCCTGCGGAGCAGGGAGCCCGATGCGGAACTCGATCCCAGGACCCTGGGATCATGACCTGAGCTGAAGGCAGACGCTTAACCGACTGAGCCACCCAGGCGTCCCTATGGTTTTGCCTCTTCATCGTGTTGGCATGGTGGCATGTCATCACTTACCCACAAGTCTGGAAGAGCAGTCTCTGGCGCAGGCGCTACTGTAGACCTAGATCATTTGTCCCTGTCAGGAGAAGGATTTATGTTAAAGAAGCCCCCCACCCACTCCTTCAGGATAATCAAATCCTATACTCATTTGCATCGGTGGTGGGGGGAGTGGATAGAAAATTTATTAGGCACTTATTCTGTGCCAGGAGCATTGTCAGCTGCATTTACATACATTTTTTCTCATTTAATCCTCATTTGATTAATTTGGAAAGGTCCTAGCTTCAATTAGATATGGGGGATGTGGCCTGCAGATAAACTGAACAAAGAATTCAGTCTTCACAAGCTTTTGGGAGAAGGGTTATCTGCCCTTATAAGATATCTTTTGTTAAGGAACCACAGTTTTGTCCCAGCACAATCATTCATTCATTTTCATTCATTATTTCAACAAATATTTACTAAATGCCTTTTATGTGTTAGAAATCTCCACCCTGTGAAGCTTATATTCTAGCTTGGGTAGAAGAAAATAGATTGGTAAAATATATGCTATGTGAAAAGGTACTTTGCAAGATGGAAAAAATAGGGAAGAGTAATAAGGTTTGGAAGTGCAGGGGTAAACAGGGTGGTCAAGGTACATTTCACTAAGAAGGTAACACCTGAGCAAAGACTTGAAGCAGGTAAGGGAGGAGCCCTGTGGGCATCTGGGCAGGAGCCTTCTTCAAGGCAGAGGCAGAGGCCCTGCTGTGGAAGCATGCTTGGTTTGTATAACAAACAACAGGAACAGCAGCTAGGATAGAGTAAACAAGGGGACATCACGGGGTTGGGGGCGGGGAGGTAGAAGAGGTGAGGGTAGGAAGATATCATAGAAGACCTTATCAGCAACTGTAAGGACTGACAGGGAAGGTGTTGGAGGGTTTCGACTGAAGGAGTGATCAGATTAGAACCACCCTTTAAAGGGATTACTGGGTCTATGTTGATATAGACTGTAGAGGGGTGTGTCAGTTTCCTAGGACTGCTGTAACAAGTACCACAAATCGGGTGGCTTAAAATAACAAAAATCTATTTTCTAACCATTTTGGAGACTAGAAGTCTGAAATCAAGGTATCAGGAGGGCCACGCTCCCTCTAAAGGCTCTGGGGGAGAATCCTTCCTGGCTTCTTCCAATTTCTGATGGTTGAGGGCATTCCTTGGTGTTCCTTGACTTGTGGTAGCATATCTCCAATCCCTGCCTCCATCTCCACATGGCCTTCTTCCCTTTATCTCTGTGTCTCTAAATCATTCTCTCATAAGGACACCAGTCATTAGATTAGGACCCACCCCAATCTGTCCTCCTCTCAACTTGATTATGTTTGCAAAGACCTTATATCCAAATAAGGTCACATTTACAGATACTGGTGTTAGGACTATGACATCTTTTCTTAGGACACAGTTCAACCCACAGAAAGAATCGAGGGTGGAGGTAAGAAGCCCAGCTAAGAAGCAATGGCAGCAAACCAGGTAAGAGATATTTTTAGCTCTGATCTAAGTTGTAGTAGAAGAGTAGTGAGAAGTGGTCTGACATATTTTGAAATCTGAGTGAAAAGTGTTTCTGACATATTGGAAGTCAAAAAGAGAGGCATCAAGGATGTCTCAAGGTTTTTCACGTGAGTACTTGGAAGATTAGAGATCTCGTTAACTGAAGTGGCAAAGGCTGCAGGAAGAACCCAGGCATCCCAAGTTCTTTCATTCAATACTTATAATAACCCTTTGAGATTGATTGGTACTGTCAACAGCCTCAATTACAAAGGAGAAAACCTAATTTTAAGGTGGTTAGGTAACTCACCTAGAGATATCCAGCTTCCAAGCGGCACAATGGAGAGTCAAACCCAGGTTTGCCTGAAAGTGGGGCTGGAGATGTTGAGCACTGTGTTACTTAACCTCACGAGTGTTTGTGTGCCTTTTGTAGAGCTGTCTAAGGAAAGCACTTCTTTGAGGGCGCCTGGGTGGCTCAGTTGGTTAAGCAACTGCCTTCGGCTCAGGTCATGATCCTGGAGTCCCGGGATCGAGTCCCGCATCGGGCTCCCTGCTCAGCGAGGAGCCTGCTTCTCCCTCTGACCCTCCCCCCTCTCATGTACTCTCTCTCATTCTCGCTCTCTCAAATGAATAAATAAAATCTTTAAAAAAAAAAAAAAAGGAAAGCACTTCTTTGGAATACATTTCTCAAATTGCCTCCAATTTCCTATTCTTAACTTTTGATTACCCTCAACCCCTCATTTCTACTTTCTTTTTCTTTTCTTTTTTTTTTTTTTAGTTAGGGGCTTGAATTCAACATGGGGCTTGAACTCGTGACTCAGATCGAGAGTCGCATGCTCTACTGACTGAGCCCGTTTAGGGCCCCTCAACCCCTCATTTCTGATGGTGTGTCTGAATTTCCCATGGGTGAGATTAAATAATTTTGTGTTCAGAAAGGAATGCTTACTAAGCTGTCACATCAAGGCCCATTGCTTTGCAGCAGGAGATGACTATGGCTGCTAGGACCCAAATAGCTGGAGAGGGGTGGCAGCCTCCAGCCTGCTCACGCTGCCTGCCCATCCTCAAGGTGTTTCCACAACCTCCGCGGCAAGTGTCCGAGCTGCAGGCCAAGCCAGAGTCTCTTGGTCTGGGGCATGCCTCCATATTCTCTGGAGTCAATAAAATGGAGCTGTAAGAGTTCATCAGGCACCTTCTGGTCTACCCACTCCAGACGCCCCAGTTCTGGGTCAGGCTAGACATTGTCTTTGCCTTCCATCAACTCCAGGACCTCTTGTGGGGAGGCTCAGTTGAATTCCTCAGGCTGATCTTGGCTGCTGGTTCAACTTCATTCTAGTACTGGTTGTTCACTTAGTGCTGATTGCAGCCAGCCCCTCCTTTCCCTCCACTCTCCTTCCCACTCCCACTTTGTGCCCCTATACTTCTTAAGTGATAAAATTATAATTATTATGATAACAATAGCTAAAATGTTTTAAGTGTTTATGATGTGCTAGACACTGTGCTCAGGGTTTCACATATGATAACTTTTCTAAGTCTCAGAACAATGTAGTGGGTTACATATGACCTTTTTATGATAAGGAAATTGAAGCATAGAGAGATAAAATAATTTTCCCATGGTCATAACGCTAATGGATGGGATTGCTGGCATTTGAACCCAGGCACTCTCCTTCCATCCCCTGTCCCATGTGGTGTCTTCTTTGGAAATAATAGGTATAATGGTAATCAGAATTGCAACCAGGAAATATGTCAAAACTATCTCAACCACCCTGCTCAAATTCAGATAAGGAGGCCCAAGGCAAATGAAATCATATTCTGACTGTTGCTAGATTTAGCTTACTTTTTCTTTCCTTCCTTCCTTTTCCCCCAATAATAGACTTGAGTAATATGGTGGCCCCATGACAGGGATCATACCACACAGTGGACAGAAGGTCAGCTTTGGTGTCAGCTCACTGACCAGCTTCTGATCAGGGTGACTGGGCAATGGCAGACCCTGGAGAACACATCCTCAGAGGTCACTTGATGTTGATTTTATGACTTCACTCCCGTGAAATTTCCTAGGAAAGTTGGCTGTCCTTCTGTTAACATAGTAGCTGGAAAGGTCGCTGCTGGTTGGTCAACTACAAGGACACAGCCGATGAAAGGGAGGGGTGTGAGGTACAGCTACACAGATTATGGCTCAAGACCAATGTTTTATCCTATTTTAAAATGTTTCTATATATAACCAGTTTATTTAGCCTTCTAAACTCATGTGATTAAAACAGAAAATGTTTCAAATTTTTATCTAATAATTTTGTCCAACCGGCCTTGTCAAACTTTACCAATGGGTAGCTCATTCATTATTGATATCTTTGTCAAATTTTATAATTCTTTAGGCATTCTTATTTTAGAACAGTCTCATTTTGATATTTAAGGCTTATCCCTGTTCATTTCCAAACTTCTACCTCAAAAGTTGTTCTAAGCTTTTTCCCCCTCACCCTCCTAGTACTAACTAGACCTGTTTTGGTTCTTGGGGTTTATGAGGTTAAATGTGGTTTGTGCAAGTGTGGTTGAGAGCAGGTTTGATTCCCCTGACAAGATCAGATTTGATTTAATAGGCAGCATTCCAGACCACATGGCTCTGTAAATTGTACTGGTTTCTCCTTCCCCCCATCTTACTGCCCCTGTCCATACCAAAGATGCTCCATCCCATACCTCTTGATCCTGGCATTATTATTCCCTTCAGGTTAACTGTCTTTGATCTGGTATCAGCAATGTGACCTAACCCTAGTTCTTTTCACTGGAGTCTGCTTGACCTATTGGAAACATACATATCTTTGTTTTGTCAAATGGTATATGAGCTATTCCACTGCAGAGAACTTCCCTCCATCTTGCCATTATCCTGAAGTTTCTCTTCCTCTTGCTCAACTAACAGGCAGATTAGACCACTACTAGATAAGTAGATGTTCAACCAGGGAATAAAATAAAATTCTCCCCCTCTTGTAGTCTTCCCCAACCTTTATTGCTGATTCTCCTGGGGTCTTACACTTGGTTTTAGAGAATGAAAGGAAATAGCTTCTTTTCATAGACACTGTATTAGTTAAAAAGCCGAGGACTCCTTTACCTCTTAAACTTTTTCTTATGGTCACTGGGTGTGTGGGGTGGAGTGGGAAAGTAGGATTGGCTCTGAACTGGTGCCTCTCATAGGCCCTGAGATGAAGAGATAACCCCAACTGATGGCAGTTCTCTGAATGCGGGGTGCTTAATGCCTCTGGTTAATTCCAGGACATGGGAAAAATTTCACTTCATGTTCTGTTTCGTATAATTGCATGTTTTAATAGTTTAGGGTAGAATTTGCCCAGTGATTTTTCAGCAATAAAAGCCCGCCTTATTTTGAGGTCCAACATCCATTCTTCCCATTCTCCTTGCGAGCAGAATCTTGATTTTGTTCATGAAGAAAGCCTCCTCTGTCTTCTTTCTCTCTCATTATTTTTGCGGATCATTTAAGAGTAAGACACAGACATGGTATCTCTTCATTCTTAAATATTTCAGTGTATCTTTTCTCAACTCAAGGAATTTTCTTACAAAAGCACAGGACAATTGTTAAAACCAGGAAATTAACCTTGATAAAATATTCTCTAATGTATAGACCTTATACGTATTTTGTCAATTGACCCAAAAATATACTTACAACGAAAGAAAATCCAAGGCATTTGTCACATTTCTTTAGTTTCCTTTTAATCTACAACTGTTCCTGAGTCTGTCTTTGTATTTCATGACATTGACCTTTTTTAGGAGTTTAGGACAATGAGTTTGTAGACTGTCCCCAGTTTGAGTTTGGCTGATGTTTCCTGGTGATGAGATTCAGGATTTCACTTTAGGAGGCACCTGTTGATTAGGCCCATTGGGCCGAGAATCCAATTTCTTTTCTTTTTTTTTTTTTTTTTAAGATTTATTTATTTGAGAGAGAGAGAGAGAATGATGGGGGGAGGGGCAGAGGGAGAGGGAGAGAGAGAATCTCAAGCCTACTCCATGCCAAGCACGGAGCCCCATATGGGGCTCAGTCTCACGACCCTGAGATCATGACCTGAGCCAAGATCAAGAGTCGGCTGCTTAACCCACTGAGTCACCCACATGCCCTGAGAATTTGATTTCTAACTCGAACATTTCTGACTCACTGGCCCCTTATGTCTGTTACTTTGTTACCACACTCAGAATTTGCCATATTCGTGGTTTTGTACTGACCACACTGACTCCTGCTGCCCTTTCTGTGGAAGCTGTTAATCATCATCAGAGGACTGATGGGAGGAACTGATCTAGTAAACCAGATCTATTTCTACTCATTTAATTTGGGGGGAAACTTCTGCAAATATGGTTGGTCCTCCCATGCACTATTCCTGGTACCCACAACCCTGTTACCAGTTCAGAAGATGACCCAAGATGAGTTTGCTTGATAAACCTCGGCCTTCCAGTGATTGCTTCCGGATAGATTCAAAATGGGATTTTAGTGCCTACTTTTCATTTTCAGGTAGTGAAAAGCTGCAGTCGATTGGTTGATTTTTGTTTTTAAAGAACACAGTCTTCTGACCACGTGCTGTTTGTCCTAGATCTGGCAAAAGTAGACTTTATGAGCGTGTACTCAGAAGTCGGCTGCAGTTTACTAGCCTAAGCCGTGCTCCTCATTGGAGGGAATATTCCTAATACCTTGCTTGCACTTGGTTTTCCCAGGGGAGGAAGGGGCTCCAGTGTGATCCACTGTACTTTCTTCTGAAATTCACAGTGAAAGGAGCAGATACCCCAAGCATATGCGGCCTTCTGTGTGGGTGTGAGATGTGGTCTAGCACATTCTTTGCAGAGTAACCCTCTTGCCCTTCACCAGGATCTCCCCAAGAGTAGGCAGGTGACTCTGGGGTGTGAGGTGCTGATGGGTTCTTTTGCGGGTTGCCCCACCACCCAGGAGTGTGTCTCCCACTCAGTGTATCCTCAACAACAGACATGCTACCACAGAGCAG